CACGCACACCTCGGCTCAGAGGGTCGACATATATTTGACGCAGTAAACTTGCGGGAGAAACCCACGTTGAGAGTGGCCTTATCGGCCCTCGATAAACATTGGGGTGTTCGAGTGAACACTTATACTTATCGGTGTAATTTTTCGCAGCTGAAAAAGACATCTAATGAATCAGTGGATGCATTCATTTCCCGTCTTGTTTGTTCTGTTCGAAAGTGACTACAATAGTATTCCCGAGAAAATGTGGAGGAAGCTATATTAATACAATACTTGATTTCTGGTCTCACGGATTCTGGGATCAGAGAGAGTCTCTTAATCGCGAACACAGAGAAGCTCACATAGGACAGGGCCAATGACGTGGCTCGCGCGTGCCCAGAAAAGCACTAGACTGCAGTTTCAACCTGTTGAGCATCATTAATACTGATGATGCCCAACAGGCTGCAACTGCAGTCTAGTGCTTTTTTAGGCATGTGGACAACTATCTGATTTGGAAGCTGAATACGAAGACAATTAACTATGTAGAAACCCCCTACTCATGAGTAATATACTCATGGAGCGCTTGTGTCAAGGGCGAAACGTTGTCTCATTGCAAGTGTATAGCAAACGGATATGTATACTTAAACTTTGGAAATTATGAAATTAACTCTTTTTTGGGTAGTGTTGTTTGCAAAGGAGGTAGGTGGAATCATCTCCGGCGGTGATGGCAACGAGGGACTAGAAACCACAATGACTAAAAATAGTAATGATGTCTTTAATCACCACCGAATATGAACCCTCGTTTACACACTTTCCGTGTCTATGTTACTTCTAATGGCGGGCTAGTTTGGACGATTCACTTTAAAACCGAATGAGGTTAAATCCCGGAAACCTCGCAGTATATCAGACCAATAATTTTTGCACAATGTTTGTAGAGTTTTTGTTACGACACTAAGCCAGTGTTCCCTAATAACCAAAGAAGCTGTGTGCTTGGCTTTTTACTCTAAATCATGATTAATTCTACCTGATCTATTGTAGTTTCCAGTTCCTTACAGGTTAAGATTCACTAAGGAAGCTCATGGTCATGATTCATCTACCGTTTCGAACAGGTGTTTTCAAACAGTGCTGGTTAGAAAAATTCAATGGTTTCCGAATTGTTGGACACAGTCCTTGTCTAAAACATTTTCCTGTTGTTGTCTGACATCACGTTGTAACCACATATATTGACCTACCAAACTTTATTCTTGTTTAGGAACACAATCTTTTACTTCACGGTCGATCATTGGAACGATTTATGTGTAGCTTATAATATGTAAATGAGTGTTCGTCAAGCACGTTCAGAACAAGTCAATAATGTTTCTAATACATCCTGGATAAGTAAATGTTCCACTGAGACAAACGCACCCTTACTCTCGATAGTAACGGGAACATCTTGCTAGCTAATCTATGTAATAATGCACTTGGGGGACACCGTTGTTTGAAGTTATTAGCAGATTCATCTATGTTACTTTTAACTATAACCAAAGGAAGCTAACTAAGGGAGTCAACTGACGAACTGTACACCGGTGTGTCGTCAAGCATTGTCAGGCATTCAGTGTTCAAGGAAGTGGATACAACTATTCGCACTGCGCTATCGTGAGGGTGACACGTATTCTTGACCATTTTTGATGCAGCATCGTGTACATTCCACACTGTTAACAAAAGTTGGTTTGATGATGTGGTCAAGAGGTTTCAGTGATAAAGTGGGTCACCGGAAGTGGATAGAAGTAGGTCTAGTTGGGCATAACACAAACAGTGGTAAGTCATAGAGGTGGATATGAGACAGAAAGGGTGCAGTGACAGCTATGCGATTTTGCTGAATACTCCGACTATATGAGGTGGCCGCGATAAATTATGACACTTTGTACTCACTTAGTACATTACTGATGGGAATAAATAAAAGCCTACATCTTGAATATGAAAGCGATGACTTCATATATGGTTGGCGGCATCCGAGTTCGGATTTGCCTGTCACTGTGGCCAGTCACAGGACGCCTGCGCCTACAGAGGGACCAAGGGTGGCTTGCGCTGCACCACCCACAGCTCCAACCACACACCGCATATATAGTGTAAACCCGAAGGAATAAGATCGGGAGGCATGTGGATGGGAACCACGTTTCATCAACGGAACCGGCCCACACTCCTTCACAGGCAAACACAAGCACGCTGTAGTTGGGGAATCGAGCGCACACAAGGCGATGGCTGGACCATAGTCCGCCCCACACTCTCCACTCCACACTCTTCGAGCCTAGCACGGCCACAAGAACCGTGCACCCCATCCCCTTCAGCAACGACCAACTGTCTCCTGGAGCCAGTATGGACGAGATAGTGGGTAATATACATGTAGGCACCTTGTCAACATGCACATCAAGCGCATCCACACCTGGGATGTCAAACAACAGCCACTCACTTGAAACGACAAGATGAAATAAAACAAACCCAATAATGCATACAGATACGGTGGCATAACTCTTCACCAAATTAGCATATGAAGTAAGTTGGTTAGCAACGAATCCGAGATAAGAAAAATGTCCACAAGTTAGTTAAAAATGCTACATGCGCAACAAAATTATCGAAGATAAGCGCAATTAATGTAAGCAACGTGGCCAGTTCATAGAGTATTATTCAGGTAGGCAGAACAAATCAAATAAAGTGGAACGAAATTTAGCCAGCTTTAAAAGACCTAGTTTAAGTGTAAGTTGGTTTAGCCCAACTGCGGTGAAGAAGCATCAAGAATGCAACATCAGCCTCTGCATGGGGTATATATATATATAACCCTTTGTCAATTACATTAGAATTGGCTAAGTGCCACAAACATAAGAAAGAAAAATAGATCGAAAGAGCAAGCGACTGGTAGAGAAGAAGAGTCTCACAGCGACTGTGCCATGGTGTACAGGCCTTGGCCATATTCTCCGGCGTTTGCAACCAGGTGTGCTCGGGGTCCTTTTGTCCTCAATCTGCGAGTCCTGAACGACCAAAAATGGTCCGCCTCGCCTTAACGCATTGAATCCAAGTTTTACACTGGCCTTCTTGTCGTCCCTTCCACTCCATGCTTACGCTCGCAAATAGAGCAAGTCGTGGTAGCCGCTGCGTAGGCATGCGGAGTACATATTCAAGTCAGCCAAGCCTCCGCAGTGAAATGGTGCTGTCGGTGGAATTTATTGGATTTGTAGACTCGCCGACGGACTTCCTCATTACTGCTGTGATGCTACCATCGAACGCCAGCAGTGCTTCGCAGGCAGTAGTAATGGAAGACAGTTAGCCACTGAACATCCCTTTTGCGAACTGGCCAAGTCTCACAGCCATACAGCAGAATCGCTCGTACCGCAGCATTATAGACTCGTCCCTTGAGAGTGAGGCTGAGATCACAACGAAGCCACAGATGACGAAGGTTAGCGAAAGCTACTCCAGCCTTGTGGACGCGCAGGGAGATCTCATCCATAAAACCGCCAATACTAAGACGACACACAAGGTTAATGAATTTGTCGACCACTTACAGCGTAGGCCCCGAAAAGGTGAGAGAAGGAGATGCACTTTGCCAGTCCTTTAACAGGACCTCACATTTGGAAGGGCAAAGGTCAACTTAAATTGGGAAGCGTATAACTCCTGTCTAAGCAGCACATGTTGGGGGCCTGGGAGGGCTCACAAATCATACCAATATAATCTCCATAACCAAGCCCCGAAGACGGTCACTAAGGCGCAGTTCAGCACCGCATGATTCAGCGTTTTCTCGGGCAGTATCCAGGATCATGTCCATGGTGAAATTGAACAAGACTGGAGAGGCTGAACAACGCTGTCGAACACCGCTAGTGATACTGAAAGCGTATACTCGTATGCAGCCCGAAATTTGACGCTAAATGGCACGGAGAATGCTAATGTACTTCTCAGGTACTCCCACTTCAATAAGCAGTCCCAAAGAGTCACTCTGTCAGCAGAGTCAAACGCGGCTCTAATGTCCAAGAATATGACTGTAGTTGGTCGACTGAACGTATGGCAATGTTCAAGTATCTGGCGGATCGTAAAGACGTGATCGAAGCAACTGCGATCCGTAAGCCACTGAGCCTGCACAAGAGCACAGCAGTGATGCGGCACAAATGAGACTGATGCCACGATGGTTGGAGTAAATGGTCAGATGCAACATGGCCAGGTACAACATTTGCTAATTTTCAGTTGGATGGGATAGTTTGAGTAGTCGGAATCTGATGAAAGAGAGATGTCAGCTCGTGGGTAGGAGCAGAACACCTGTATTTGAAGACAGCAGGAAGAATTTCATCTGGGCTAGGCGATTGTGGCGCTTTAGGGGACGAAGCCCATAGGAGACCTCAGCCACAGTCGATGGAGAAACATCCACGCAACAGGGAGCCCTTTGCATCCCGGAAGGACTCTGTTGTGCTGCTGGCCAGTTGAATTGCGTTTCAAGGTGCTCTGCCCATCGTACCAGACGACGGTGACGACTGTGAATTAGTTCATGGTCATTTTCACACAAAACCCCACTCACTGTTGGCCTTGTGCCTCCCGCGGACCGAATAAGTAGGAACAGCTTGCGGGGATTTCCTTATGAGGCGGCCCGCTCCATCTCATCGTCACCTTGTGTTCACCAAACCTCGCGATTTTTTCTGAGAAGCTGTCGGAGTCCAGCATCTGTGGTTCTGCGTAGTGCATTATACTCAACTCCGGCGGGAATTTTTGGCGATATTTCATCAATTGGGTTGACTGTACGGAGATCCTGTGACTAGAAACTCGTCTAGTGAATCCACAGACCAAGGTTTCGGACTTTCGTAAACCGCTCTGCATCTCTGACCATTGTGTCTCAACTACGGAGGATAGAGAACGCAGGTTGAAGTCTGATGTGTACTGAAGTACGCCCGTCTGTATCAAGCCGTTTCCGGCGACGCTGTTGGGTGCCTCCAAAAAGCAGAACGACCTTAGCACTCATGAACGCATGATCCGAAGTCAAATAAGTGTTCTAAATTGACTTGCAGTTCGTTATGCTACCTCGCCAACGGTAAGTAACGGCGATGTGGACAATCTGCACCCATGCTCGACCAGGCACCGGAGGTTGCCAGGTGGCTGGTTGGCGCCAGGAACGCTGGAAATTGGTGCTCGTAAGGAACAAGTGGTGGTCGGCGCACAGTTGAAGGAGTCGATTACTGTTGTCCGTCCTGCGAGTACCACGGCTGTGTTGACCACCAACTTCACGCACATGGATCTCGAGTCTACCGACCTGCGCATTTAGGTCTCCGACAAGTACCACGATTTCCGTGGAGCGTTTCTTACGAAGCAAATCAGTGAGTTGTCCCTAGAGCTCGTCTTTAGATTCATCCGGGCGTACGTCGCCACAATGAATAAGCAGCGCTTACTGGTCCCGTGGCTGGAGGATCGCAGTGAGTTCTCCAAACGGACTGCACAAAGACGGCTGTTGACCAGTAACCAGTCAATGAGTGCTGCCTCAGCACTCGCGCTTAAGGCAACTCCTACGCTGGTGCAACCAGAAGCTGCCGCTGTCGCATCTCCACATATGCGCAAGATGGATATGCACTCGGAACTTGTAGCATGGTGAGAACAGTTGCAGCGTTGTGCTGGAGTTCTGTAAACGAGTTTCTACTAGACAGCAAACGTTGATGGAGAGGGTTTCCAAGGTGCACGCATGAGCAGCTAATAATCCAATCTGCATAAACGTTCAAAAATTGAACGTACCTAGCTTGAAGAGCGAGCGGGGTGCAATAAAAGCCTTTCTGTTGGAATTGGATTGTGTGCGATCGGTTTGGAGCCGTTCATTGATGAGACCAAGGGCACCGTGCTTCTTTGCAATTCACTTTTGAAGATTCGGATTGGGAGGGGGGTTGCCAAGAACAGGAGGGTTGAATAAACCTGGAACGAAAAATGTAGTTTGCGGTGCTGTGGAGTGAAGTTTAGCATGTCCAAGCGCCAGCACATCGACAAAAGAGAGAGGAAGTTCCTACAGCGAGAATCGTGAACAGAGTCGTATATCCATAATTTCATGTGTTATATTAGCATACAGATTCCCGGTGGTCCAGGCCGAGGAAGGGTGCTTACTTAGGGAACCCTACCAGGAACCGTCGGTCATAGGAGCCTGACCCGCGAGGCAGCGGGGCGAATTCAGGGAATTACGCTCATTGGAATTCGGTGACTGCTTTTTCGGTTCATACGCCTTTCCTTTGGCTGGCTGCTAAACAAGGGTCCAATACTCTTAGTAATTCAGTGTCCAGCTGAAGAATTACGATGCGCCAGCAGTGGCTTTATTTAGTGGCGAGTCACATCCAGCAACTCGCAGTGTTGTTAAAAGGAAATATGTGGATTCTTATAAAAAGGACGCTTGGCAGGCGAACATCCACTACGTCCTGAATAGCACACACACATATATGAATCAAAGTTACCAACAAGTGTTAGCATAGATGTATAGCGCATTCGCACTGGAGACACAATGATCTGACATCTAATAACACACAAGCACAGCGAACGGTTTTACACCCAAATAAGGTCCATTTAATTGAATGTGAGGGATGTACTGGTTCTACAAGATTCCGCAATTAAACAAAATTAGGTTCACCTTGAGCCCCGGGTAGAACGTGTTAAAGTAAAGTAACGCACAATGGGTGAGATCAGATGTTCTTCGTCTCCACGATGTTGGGTTTTGCAGTGTGCTTGCAGATATCTGGTCACCAGCGTAAGCGATACCAGCAGTATTTCGCGTTAGGTCAGAGGATCACGCGGTACCAGTCAATTTCTCAGCCACGCACGTGTTCAACTGTTACCAACCCAAATGACTATTCAAAAATTGTCCATTGCAATGGGCCTGAACCTTAACGAGGTGCAATGATTCGTGTGCCTCTGGCATCTATTGATCTCTGTTGAATAATGCATTTTATACTTTCACAGCCACCTATACCAGTTCGTTTAATGAGTACCAAACAAAATCACTTCCCTGATTGTCTAGGTTAGGGGCTACAGGGAGTGTATATCCTTACTCAATTATTACTGATTGCTGTTTGGGAGCAGCAAGTAGGGTTTCCTCTGTGTAGCTGCATCTAATGTCACTCAGGGACCAAGACCTGTTATGTTGTGGTGCGCTGAATAAAGTTCGCGTCGGCAAAGTGTTTGTCCAGGAATTTTTTAAATTCCGACACCGATTTTGCCTCATTTATGTGTTGCGGCATGTCATTCCATACATTCACCACTCTGCCTTCGAAACAGAGTTGGTGAGCTACCCGCTTCAAATGCGGTACGGCGGGCTTGTAACGGTGTCCTCGTGTGCTGCTTAATGTGCGTAGATGAAACAGCGGCCTTAGCATGTGGTAACCTCCCAAAGGTAATATCCGGTGCGTCATGATGAGGTCAACCCGCAGTCGACGATAAGCTAGAGTATACGCCCTAGTTTCTTACACCGATCTTCGTACAGCACACCTGGTAAGTTGTGAATCAACCTGGTGGCTACATGCTGCACTCGCTCCATCTTTTCTACCTCGCCCCGGGTGATAGGACCATACACGGGAGAACCATACTCTAGCATTGGTCATAGTATTGAGACGCAGAGGCGAGTGGCAATCTCTTCGGACCAAGTGCTGAAGCTACGCCTGTGTGCCCAAAGCATACGAAGGCTGTTTAGCTAAGGCTTATTCGTGTTGTCCATGGACTTTAGGTCGTAACATGAGAGTACACCGAGGTCTCTCAAGAAACGCGCGGGATGCAACGGTTGTCCGGCCACTGTGTAGGTTTGACTATGCTCACACATACCCAGCCTAATGAATTGCCTTTTGACCCGGTTGATCGGAAGGTTGACCTCTACACTTGGAGAGGCGATCGATGTCTTGGTAAAGGAAGTCACAATCATTGGGTGTGCGGATTAATTCCCACACCTTCAAATCATCTCCTAACAACGCACAATGTGATTGGAGTAGCTGAGGCACATCGTTTACATGGATCATAAATAAAATCGGCCCCAGTACTGTGCCTTGGGGAAACCCACTGCTCCACGGATAACAGTCGGTCAGATGATTGTCCACCTGGACCCTCTACTTTCGATCAACAAGGAAATTCCTGATCCATCGGTGCAGCGAGCTACCAACGCCGCACACCGTCAACCTGTCAAGGGGCACTGCCTGATTTAACTTATCAACGTAAATGAGGTCGAACAACTTGCCTTAGTTCAGCGCCTGCAACCATTCGTGCCTCGTCAACAATAGGTTGGTGATGCACGAGCGACCTTTCACGAAACCATGCTCTACAGGCGTCAAGAGGCTTTTTGAATCGAGAAGCTGAAGAAGACTCCTTCACGATCTTCTCAAGCGTCTTTGCCAAAACAGTGGTCAGGCAGATCGGCCGGTAGTTATTCACTTTGTTGGAGTCACCACCTTTCGGTATTGGTTTTACGATTGAGCATTTCTGGTCGCCCTGTAATCATCCAGGGGATACTGACCTGTTGAAACGCTCAGTTACAGAAGGCGAGATGCTGGTCGGTAAGGACTTGAGGATCATTGGCTAGGTTCCATATGGTCCGGCAGGCTTCGTCCCATCATGACTTGCCGGCAGCTTAAATACATCTTCAATGTTACACTCCAAGCTGTCTAGTTCAGCGGGAGCGATACTCGTCGAACTCGTTACAGACACCTGGTCACTTGCAAATACGAAAGCGAAATGTCCTGCCATTGCGGACGTACGATATGTATTCGAGGTTAGGGGCTGCCCATCTGAGCCTTCCAACACTGGCACATTGCCTGCAGGCCTCAGGCACCACTTCACGCAAGCGCAGATCTACTTGGAAGCGGTTTCTGCGGCGACTGCAAGCTGCTCTCCGAAGCTTCTGCGTTTCTTTTGTTTTCGCGTTGTTGCAGCGATTTCACTATACTTTCACGCCTCGTAATCTTCGTTAGAGCCAAGAAACACGAATCTGTTCCATAGTCTGCGTCGTTGTCGTCGGACCATTTTGCTGCGCTATTTGTGGAAGCAGTGTGGTTCTACTTGCCCAACTTTCCCGTACTTGAGAGGTACAAATCGGGCGCACAACGATTTCACTCCATCTAATCATGGTCCAACTGGTTTCAATAGACGATTCCTGCGGTAAAGACCAGTCCATCTGTCTCGCTTCTCGAGTGAGTCCATTATAGTCCGCCTTTCAATGGTTGGAGACTGGCTCCAGTGGATTACAATACAGCTGTGTCAGTTCCAAGCTGAGTATGGTCATGGAGTCGTCATTCACTCCCAGGGACTCCAAGACTTGAATGTGAAGCACACTTTGCTCATAGCTGGTCAGAAGCAGGTCTAAGCACGATGGAGTCGTACGCGCAGTTATGCGCGTCAGAATTTTAAAACCAAAGACTTTGGTTAAGATTTCTGATCGTTCTCCTGCTCAACTAGTTCAATGAACCTTTTCCAAAACAAGTTTTCCATCCACTGGGTATCATAGCTTTTGCTGTGCCGCCACTTAAGTTTGCGACTCGCAATAGTCGTCTTCATCAAGTGCCTCCTATGTACCTAATGAGATCAAATACATTCTAAACTGGCCGCGTAGTGCAGTGTTTTCACTCGAGCAACACCAAATTTCCATCTGCTTCGGCCACGGTCCCAGTGATCGCAGTGACCAAGGTTCACTTCAATCTGAATCGCGATCCACATTGAGATTGCGCGTTACAATCTAACCACACAGCGAGTATTCAACATGATCCTCCAAAAGGTCACTAACCGTGGTGACCAGCTTTGCCCGTCTTGACCCGGTATCCATAGGGGTGTAGGTTTCGGTTACTATTTCATTGGTCGCGGGTTTGAGGCCTGCTACCTCCACCTGGTGAGGTCAAATCAGATCGAAACGCATCGCAGTGTGCAGGGTTTTCTGGCGGACCACACACGATTTGTATCAGCTGCAGCCACGGTCCCAGTGATCGCAATGACTAAAGTTCACATCATTGTGAATCCTGGTCTACATTAAGATAGAGCGTCACAATTCAACCGTACAACATGTACTTCAACATGACACTCCAAAAGATCACTAACCGTTGTGACAAGCGTTGATCGTCGCGAATCCGTGACAAAGTTATAGTCTTTGGCTAACCCCGAAATTTCCCTGATTCTAGTGAATCCCCTTATTCCCTGATGACATCAAATGACTTCGAAGTTCGTCATGCACTGCCGTAACCTTGGGATGGCAACGCTCAATATCCAACATACTAATTGTTCTTATTCTGTGTTTTACTATATTTATACCTCACCTTTTTCGTTTATCTCGTCCAAATTAATGCGACCGTAGAATACTGTTAATGGCCCAACAGTTTTTATTTGGCTGGGAATTATTTAGGATCAAAACATCCGATGTGTTCTGATGTCCACATTGGTGTGGTTCTAAGTAGGCTACAGCTTAGGGCGAGAAGGAAAATTGGTTTTAGGACCCCGCGCATACTATAAAGCTATCACATGCTTACAAGCAAAAACTAAAGAGATTTTCCAGGGCAGTACCGAGCTATCTCGAAAAGCAATTGGAGTTATTGTGTCCACCTTAGACTGTATTGCAGTTTTATTGACGGTTTGCCTGGCATTTGTGATACGGAAAATAATCATTCGACATGTGACTCATCGTTTCTTATGTTAGAAACCGGTCCTAGTCGTTTCAATACCTAGCTGTCTTTTCATTTATTTATTTATTCCATACTCTAATTGTAACTGGTAACACAACGAATTCATGGAGTCAGCAACGAACCCAGCTCAGCACAATCTTTTTCGAAACTCCTCGTGGCTTATTAAACGAATACAAACATTTGGCTAATACGAAGCAGGTTTGTCGTAGACAGAAACAGTGCGAATACCAGCACATACTTGGTGCATGTCCAATGGACGTCTTATCAACAGCACCAATCTCCTCGAACCCTGTAGAATTCCAGCCCTAGATTATCCTCCAATATATTAACGATTTTAGCTATTTGAAACAGCAATGTACCAACATCCCGGAACTCTACTTTGATGTATTACGGTCAGGGGCAACATAAGGGGCAGTACAAAGTGATGCGATGGATTAGACTATGACGCAGTGTCAAAGCATCGCTTTTGCTACATATTTCGTTTCGTAGCTCAATAAGAACTCTGCTTTCGACATGTCCGTGGAATCACATTTATAACGCATCTTTTCGTAACCCTTTTCATTGATCACAGACCCGGTGATTGCATACTCTCTGTGAATGGTATCAGCCTGCTTGGAGTCACACACGAGGAGGCAGTAAGAACGCTCCAATCAGCTGGTCCGCGTCTGAAACTGGTAAGCAATGCTCGCCATTTAGAACAATCGAACCTTACCGCTCACTGCTATTGCTGTTTACTTTCATATCTGCTTTTTTCACATCCAGTAATTCATTCGGAGGGCAAGTCTTTCTTATGAGTCTGTATGGCATTAGAGATGCTAACTAATAGCACACCATGAATATTCAACCAGTTCCAATTCGGAAAATCAATGGTGTGACGTTTCTTTTTGGAACTCATCGGCAGCAGGCCAACCTTGACTTCGGCGTAGTGGAAATGTACAAGTCTGTGAAGGATGGGTAAAAGTGTTATGTGCCTAGTCACTGGGTCTTTACTGTTGACTCGAAAGTGAATGGTAACGTTTCCTAGACTCTGCTTTGATATGATAAAGCTCAAGGGTTATACAGCAGGTATCTGACTTAACCTACCTGAGGCGAATTGACTCCCAATTAAGCGCAAATGTCTCCTTCGCTATTCTCTAAATATTGTTATAGCCAGAGTTAGCCTTCCCCTTGATGTTCTCGCCATATGTGCCTTGCCTTAGAGAATGAGACACTGACAAGGGCAAATGTTGAGGGAATTGAATGTAATAGTCAAATGTGTGTTTTATAGTTTACCAGATGCGGTAGTACAGACCGCGGGCAACGGCGATCAACGCCCCAGCGAAGTACATGTTACGAAGGACCTGGAAATTTCAACCATCAGGCTATCGTACTCAGAAGCTTTTCAGACTTGTTTAAATGTGTACCTGGAATGTCTTACTTAAGACAGTGCTAGACCGTCTCTTTCCGCATCGCCTCACTGAAATGTATTGCCTAATACCCCCTGGCAAAGCAGGGGGTTTTCAATAATTCCTCTTCAGGTTTGTACGATTATATGTGGAAAAAAACAAGGCAACAACACAAGGCAAAGATAAGAGGACCGTCCGCGCCCAATCAATGTCTGTTTATTCGTTCTCCTGTTCCTGCGGGGCAGGGTACATAGGCCGAACGACGAGGCGCCTGTCTGAAAGTGTTAAAGAACACCATCCAGCCTGGCTTATGACCGATTGTCGAAAACAAACCAACTCATCCAGAGCCACGTATCTCGCCGACACTGGCCACGCCACCAACCTGGCTGTGATTCCAAGTACCGGACAATCTATCAAATTGCGTTCGTAGGCGTTTGCTTTAATCAGCGGAAGTCATCGCGATTTGATGCTACGAGCAGGAGTTGTGGGTCGGAAACGGCTCGTTCAGACCTTAAAAGGGCCTTGGCCCACCCGAACTGCGACATCCGGCTCATAAAATAGCGTGTAAGCCGCACTTGTGCCCTAACGGATAGTGATTGTGCTTGATCGGTGACTGTGAACTGAATTTGTCTTGCCAAACCTTACGTTGTGTCAAGCATTTTGGTTTCTCCACATATAATTGTACAAGCCTGAAGAGAAATTATTGAAAACATATGTTCGCTTGCATCGACTTTTAATCATACTACATGAGTATTTAGTACTTCGCTGGCGCTCGGCGATCTGGATAATCAATAGATTCGTAGAAAGTAGAAGTCGCGGTTAAGCTCCACACAATAATCTGTCTCGACGGGGAATCGAACCCCGGTCCCACGAATTTCCGGTCCGCTGCTCTATCACTGAGCTACCGAGGGCTGACGACTAGGTGCGCAATTTAATACAAGACTTCTGCTTGGTGCGCGAGGTATTGCCAATGAGCTCCCAGTATCTGTCCTGGTGTTGCAGATCGGCTCACTCACTCGTCCCTTCGCAATGGACCGGAGTAACTGTCCTTCTGATGTCCAAAAGGTGATTCTAGACTACTTGAGGATGTTTGTAAGTGCCGTACGGTTCGTAACAAGTAGAAGTCACGATTAAACTCCACACAATAATCTGCCTCGATGGGGGATCGAACGCCGCTCCAACAAATTGCTACTTTCTATGAACATTACACTACTCACAAACATCCACAATTAATCTACCATCGCCCTATGGACATCAGAAGAACAGTTACTTCGGTCCATTGCGAAGTGACGAGTGAGTGCGCCAATCTGCAACACCAGGACAGGTACTGTGAGCCCATTGGCAATACCTCGCGCACCAAGCAGTAGTCATGTATTAAATTGCGCACTTAATCGTCAGCCCGCGGCAGCTCAGTGGTAGAGCGGCGGACCGGAAATTCGTGGACCGGAGTTCGATTCCCCTTCGAGGCACATTATTGTGCGTGAATTTTAATCGTGACTTCTACTTTCAACGAACCTTACACTTTTCACAAACATCCTTCAAGTAATCATTAGATTGTCAACTAGTAAACACCTCACGTCTTTTTATCTCACTTTGGCCAGGTCATTAAAGAAGCTACTTTTTTCTCTTATCCCTTTTCATTCAGAACGCCATGTTTTTATATCATAACATACTATATGTACATTTATCTCACCGCACCTATCTCTGAAATTGGAGAAAATATAAACATGTAGAATTATTCGACAGATTTACAGTTTTAATCTTGTTACTGGTGAGATATCCGTGCCTCATGGAACATAGTCCCCTCCCTCGAAGCAGTGTCAGCACTATGTCATGATCAGCATGCAGAACTGCCTTTGTCGCTGCTTCTACGACCAATGAGACTTTTACACCAAAAGACTGCGAGGGTCCATCCCACGTCGCAGCAAAGTTTACTTTGTGAACGACTCAAGTAATTTCGTGCAAAACGTTTGACAAGCAATCCGGTAGATGCTTGATTACTGACATAAGAAACGTATGTAAAGATCAGCATGTCAGCCGGCTGCAATCCCTTCGGATCTGTGTGAAGCGCAGCTACTGGTATCAAGGCTATTGCTGATACTGCTGCCAGGACAGTTACCACGACAGCTACGTAATGAACATATCACCTCGATTGGCGGGAAAACGCGCACAGTTAAGTCGCTCAGCTCGGTGAGCACAGCAACATCTCGTGATAGGTAATAGTTGACTGTTGTTCCCATGATGTAATCAGATTGCTCATTAATCACCGCTCCTTACGATCAACTTAGTTCACTGAAGAACGGATTGGGTGGTCTATGACGGAGCTTGGTTACAAATACTTGACTTCTGTTGGTTCATTTTGTATTACTGTTGGATGAGTGAATGTAGGCGGATATTTATATGGGAATGCTAGAAAGCGGTACATTAAAACAGGTCATTTCGGTTCTAAAATTCTATCGGCATTATGTGGATGACATATTTTGTGTAAGTGATCGGACCACCAAACCCCAGGATATAATCGACTGTTTCCATAATGCGCACCCGAATGCCGCATTTACAGCTGAGGAAGAAAACAACAACCCAATGAATTTTTTGGACGCAAGTCTTATCAGAAGAACCGACGGATAAATCCAAATAAAAGTTTACAGGAAAACATATTGGACGGGACAATAGATGAACTTTCACAGCTCCGTCCCACTCAGCCAAAAAAGAACGCTGGTGCGAACACTAACCGGTCGGGCATACAAAATCTGCAGCGAAGACACCATAAAAGTCGAACTCGTACGAATCGAAGAAGCGCTTCTAGAAAATGGATATCCGGAGCAAATTATTGAGACCCATAGGAGGAGATGCATACGAAATGTATCAAAAAACGTTGAAAAGAAACAACTTTACCTGACATTTCCATTCAAAGGAAATAGTGCGACTGAGACATGCACGCGTCGACTACAGAAAAGCGGCAAGAAGACCTTTACTGCGGCTCAGCTGAATTTGGTTTTCACGAGCAGACCTTTACTAGTTCCGAGATTCAAAGACCGAGTGCCTGATCATCTCCAATCAATGTTACTCTACCAGTTCACCTGCCTGTGCGGGGCCAGGTACATTGGATGAACGACCAGGCATTTAGGTAAGAGAATTAGGGAACATCTCTCAGGTTGGCTCTGCAATCGCAAGAACTGGACAAACTACAGCGCGACTACGGACCATGTAATCAACACAGGTCACCAGATAAACAAACAAAGATCCTTTCAGATTCTCTACAGAGTACCACCAAGGCATAACCATCGTGTAAGAGCAAGCCTACTTGTCACCGCTGATGCCTTATGCATAGGCCTGGCAAACCCGGACTTGCGTATCCAGAAGAAGATGATACAAACACTACAACTTCCGTGGCCGACCACCAGATGGGAAGGAAGTGATGGCACTCCTCAACTCCCCACCTGACTTCAGTCATGTGATCCGATGACCGCCATCATGATCACAAACTCAATTTCGTGATCAATTGTTTCTTTGTTATACTAACGATTGAAACAGACCTTACCCTAATGTGTATTATTGTATGAGCCTGACGAAGTATTAATCGATAACAATTGTTCGCTTAATGCTTCGCTTTTTGTTTATCTTTCTGAACTTGACGTAACAAATGGGCATTCTGCTTGCGTTGAATGTTAATTTGAATTGCGATTTCGTTGAACTGAACTCCAGTCCGTAGCGTGGAATATGAATGCGGGAAGTGTTTGACGTTGTCTGCTCACCATACTTGGGTCCTAGTTTGCTTGGGTCATATAGGTTGTGCTGAAATTGCATCTCGGGAATTAGGTGTTGCGATTGCTGCGCATGCCCGTAGATCATCTGGCGAAATCCACTGTAAAGGAAATCAAGCTCCAACTTATGCGTGCTTGTCGAACATCATTTATATCGCAGTAGTACCTACACCGACCAGTAATAAATCTCCAGTCTTTGTAACAAGTTTTGCATGCGCTCTAGTGATACGGCGTTGATTCAAAGCAGCAACGTCTCTAGGTGGAGTTCCAGCTTGGGCAATTTTACTTTCTGAATGTTCATGAGAATGAAACGTGGGATGAATTTCAGTGTTGCGATCAAGCGATATCTAGCGTTTAACTGCACGGTTAGTGCAAAAAGTACGCCGGGATTAATGACGCAAAGGGTCGAAAGAGTACCCCGACGATACCGCGGGAGGAATATCGGTGCATTTTGTGATAGGCATTTAACCTTGTATAACTATTCGGTATAATCCTACAACTTTTGCATAGAACTATGTTGTGATC